CTGGGCAACCTGCTCACTCTGGCAGCTCTCACACTCTCCCCTACTCCTTCTCCAGGTGCCAGCCATTGTGAGGTACATCCACCAGTGCCTCACCTTCCACCTGTCTCCAGATGTCAGGCAGCACATTGACATCCGCAGGCTCGCTGACAGAAACCCTCATGAGGTCGTGATGACTCTGCTGGGCTGTGCTCCAGAGTGTGACAGGTACAGGGCTCAGCTGCCTTGGTGGCTTCAGGGCTCACCAATCCTTAGAACCCATCATCCTGTAGAGCCTGACCCACCTGTTCTGCCAGGCAGATGGAGAGATCCAGGACCCTCTGACCCGTCCATTTCCCAGCCCTGGCCTGTCAGCCCCCAGTCCAGCTGCCATTTACCCTCCCTGTCCCTCAAGGCACAGTGGCTCTGTCACCTGGGCCCCCACAGCTGCCTTGGCCATGGCACTGTGGTTGAGACCCCCCTGACCCAGAGCTCTGTCTCCACAGAGCTGCTGCAGTGATGTGGAGCAGCATCGCCTCCTCAAGAACAGCAATGGAGAAGGTGCTGCCCACACTGCTTGGAGCAATGCAGGACTGGCCAGTGCACAGCATGTCCAGCTCTGATGCTGACAACAACACAGCCATCTTTGCCCTGGCTGTGAGTTTCTGGAATTGGCCTGTACTCCTGCCCAACTTGCCTCCCCCACCACTGCATCTCCCTGCCTCAGGCGTTGGGATGCAAATGTGGCTGAGGGGCAGGTTCAGGGGCACCAGGCTGGCTGCTCCTCCTGGGGAGTCCCCTGGCCTCTCCCTCCCATGCTCGGGCCCTGCCACATGAACATCTCACACTGAGCGCTGTCTCTATGTGGTTTTATTGCAGGCAACCCTGGCACTGTGGCACATCATCCAGGAGACCGAATGCGAAGAGGCCATGATCAATCATGCCCCACACCTCCTCTTGTCTCTGCTCTTCCAAATTTCCATGAGCACAGAGCAGATGTCAGAGGAGGTCGATGCTTTCTGGAGGCAGTGCCAGGAGGAACATGGCCTTCCCAAAAACCCCAACAGGTGCTCCATCCCTGTCCTCTCTCCCTCCCATGCCCTCAGGACTGGGGCCAGGGCTCCCAGCATGACCTGGCCTTTGCTCTGCACACAGGTTTGCAGTACAGACCCTGAAGGCTCTGCTCTGCTGCCTGCACTGGGAGAATGAGGTGGTGGCCATTGAACGAAAGCGTGGCTGGGAGACACTGCTATGTTTAGACACCCACCATTATGCAGTGGGGCTGCTGGCCAGGTGAGACACCCTTCTCCCCACTGCACCTGTTGTCTCTCCCCTGTGCATGGGGAACCCCACAGAGCCCCTGTGGGTGTGGGCCACATGGCTGAGCAGATTGGAAATGGCTGTGAGAGCTGGGTGCACAGGAGGAATTATCCCCCAAAGCACCCCTGTTCTGTCAAGGGCTACTGGAGGAAGTCCAGGCCTTTGTGAGTCAGTTCTTGGAGAGCTTTGCCCACCTGGCACAAGCTTGATGGTTCCTTTTCTCCTCCTGACAGGGAGATGCGACGTGTCCTTGTCCCGTTCCATTGCGAGATGGCAATCGACCTGCTCAGGATGCTCAGCAGGGAGGAACCCCACTGGGAGCTCCCTGCCCTGGCGTTCCTCGTAGAGGTGAGCCTGATGGCGAGCGCTGCCTCGCCTGCCTGCCTCCCTCTCTTTGGCCTCTCAGAGCCACAGCTGCCCAGGATGGTACCTGCGCCCTGTGCTGCTGCCTGGGCACAGCCCTGGGGGACTCTGGGTTCCTGATGCCTGGCCACCCCATCACTGCTCTCTGCCTTCCAGATCCTGGACTATCTGGATGGGAGAAAGTGTCACGACACAGTTCTGCCCATCCTATCAAGGAACTTGCAGATCCTGTGCCCTGAGAGGCAGCGCCTGGCACTGAGAGGCCTCCTGGTTCTCAGTGTGGATCCCTTGATGGTGAGAAGGGCACACCCGGATGAAGCCACACTGGCAGCCTGGGGCTGGGGAACGCAGTCACTTGGGCTTGGCTGGGCTTCGGGAGCTGTGGCAGCTGCTCCCAGCTCTCCTGCCTCCCTCTTCAGCTGCCTGGGTCCTGTGGCACAGACCTTTGTCCTCTGGGCCCCAGGGCAGCAATGTGGGGTTGCAGCACCAGAGAGCTGTTGGTGGGGCAGCTGTTCAGGGCTTCACAGCACAGCATTTTGTTCCACACAGGCCGACAGCATCTGCAGCCTGGCTGAAAACCTCCTGGAGCTGCTGCGTCATGAAGATGTAGAGATGGTCGAGATGACCCTCTCTGTCTTCCTGAACATGCTCCAGGATGAAGACCTTCAGGCATTCGGCTCTGCTGCCCTGAAGCTGGCTGAGGCACTGCAGCCACTGTTTGATAATGTAAGGCTCTGGTGCTCCCAGGGAACTTTGTGCCCTGTGGATTTTAAAGCCTGTGCGTGGTTGGCCAGGAGCAGCCAGTGCTGAGCTCTTTTTCTCTTCTTCTGCACCAGGACAACAGCCACGTGCAGCTGCTCTCCATTCGCCTCTTCCGAGAGGTGATGGAGTTGGTAGTGGAAGAGGGAAAGGAGACACTTGTGCACCAGAGCCTGGTGCCGCTCCTCTTCCACTGCCATGATGAGACCCAGTGCGTGGCAGAGGTGAGCTCTTGTGGACTCTGGGGTCCCTTGTGGCAGGGGGCTCAGCTGCCTCCTGTCCAGGTGCCTGGTGGGCTCCAGGGTCATCCTGGCCATGGCCAGGGATGCAGGTCCTGTGCCCTGGGCTGTGGTGCCATGTCCCAGTCTCTGCTGCTCTGCAGGCCTCTCGGGAAGCGCTCCTTTGTGCTGCAAGTTCTCTAAAAAGGAGGGATCTGGAGCAGCTGCTGAGGAAAAAACAGCACCTGGAGTTCTGTGATTGCCTGGTAAGGACCACGCAAAGGCCCAGCCCCCGATGCCCAATGCGTGAGGGTGACCCTCCCCTGGTGAACCCGTCTGTGGGACACCAGCCTGTGCCCCACACGCTGCTCCGTCCCCTCGGCCGTGGGGGCTGTTCTCCAGGCTCTGCTGCCCCCGAGCCAGGAGGACACTGGAGCCAATGCCAGCTGGGTGTGGGGCAGAGCAGCCCCGGGAGCAACAGCCAGCTGCTCCTCCAAAGCCCTGCCCCAGCAGCTGCTGGCCTGGCCTCAGGGCTCTGCGGGCAGGGGAGGCCAGTGCTGGGCACAGGCAGTGCCTGGAAAAGGGGCAGAGCCTCAGCCAACCATTCCCTCTGTACCCTGCTGCTCCCTGCAGATGGACAAGGACATGAGCTGAAGGGACGAGCACCTGCGCCAGGCTCTGACCTACCTGCAGAGCCCACAGCAGCCCCTGAGAGAGCTGGCCGTCAGGTTCATGGGTGAGCCACAAGCCCACGGTCCCTCCCCGCCCCGCTGCTCCTCGGCCCCAGCCCAGCTGTGCCACTGGGGCCCTGACACGCTCTGTCTTCCCAGGGGTCGCCGCC